ATTCTCACCCTTCTTTTGTTTTGTTTGTGGTATCCTGTATGTTGTGGTACATATACTAATGGGAAGAAATAGCTACTCTGTGTTGGTAGATGGCATTGAGACTTTTCTTCGTTTATTTATCCATTTTTGTTATTTAGTTTTTGAGTTCTCTAATCTACAACACAGGGAACATGTTGATATCGTTGTTTGAGTTGATTTTTTTGGATATGTTTAAATTCCATCAAGTACTTTGTTTTGAAGAGATAATTTAAAGTATATGTTTATGTTGAGTTTCACTGCAAGTTTTTTATTAACTTAAAAGAGTATGTGTGTTGTGAATGTGTAGCACCATTTTTAGAATAATATTGTTTATCTTTTTTAATTAAAGAGTTGGGGTTTTTAGGGTGTTGCATCTCTCGTGGAGAAAATGCTCGATTTCTTTCACATGTTCCAAAATATTTCATGTAGATTGGGTTTTTCGCATACGAAGTTAGTGAAGAAATTATAGCAGCGAAAATATAAAATAAAAGGTGCTTTTGTCTATACGGTGCTAGAATAAAACTTTAATATCAAAAATAACTCCCTGGCAACGGCGCCAAAAACTTGATGCAAGTCACAAGTGCACGACAATGCGAAGTAGTAAAACATATTGAACCATAAGGAGATAAGTTTGATTACTAATTTTTACTCTAAAACTATGTATCTAAAGCGATCAAAAAATTGGGGATTCAGTGCAAATGAATTAAAATTAACAAAACAAAAAACAAGGCATGTGATATGTGACTATCTATCTCAACATACCCAATTGTCTTTCCAAACTGAATACGAAAAAAACATATCAAGTTATAGAAAGTAGACAAAACTTTGAACAACACCTACCTTTGTAGCATGTGTACTCTCTTGGATGAATATTTTGTTTTGTTTCACTAGCCCGTATAATTCATTTGAGAACTCGTATTTTAGCAAAACTAAGTGACTTTCTCAACCAAGAATGAGACACTTTGTTAGTCGCACCATAACTAAGTTGTTTAGCAACCTACTCTCAGATATTGGATCACTACCTTTCAGTACATGATCGATGTCTAAATCGCCTTTTCTTTCATAACTGACGTGAATATGTTTAAGTGTTTGGATTCTAAAATAACTCTAGATTTTTGTTTTTCTCATTAATCGTATAAGGAAAATTCAACTAGGGTTTGCTAAGAGATAGGCCTCACAACTCATTGTTTCTAACAGAATCACTCATGATGATATTTAGTGCAACTGAATAATGTAGAGACATAGAAAGCATATAATATCAAAGCAATAGAAACGGAGAAAGTAAACCTTAATGAAGATAATTATTTCAATTATTATAAATAGCTTCAACAGTTCTTGAGTGCTCTTACAGGGGAATGGAAATTTCAGTAAAATAACACATAAAGACTTAGACCAAAGCTTCAAAGCTGGAAACTAATTCTAGAGTAATGTGAAGCTAACACAAGATTATTGTTAACAATGATTAAAGTCTTATTTATAGCCACTAATCTCATTCAATTCCTTAAACTCGTGTAAATGACGCTGAAAGTCATTAATTGTCTAAAATGGAATAACCTGGAGGCACCAATAGTCACAAAACATCCAAAAATTCAAGACTTTGTAACTACCGCTAGGCTGAACGCGGGCAGTGTTAGGAAGCACTGCCTGCATGTGTTGTTCTCTGAAAATATAGGTGGAGTCTAGGAACAACACATCCGTATCAGGTAACACGACATGTTTGTGTTATCCTTGGGTCTGATGTATATGCAAGGTGCTTCCAACTAATACGGCTCGTGTCAGCTAACACGACTCAACTATGTTGGCATTGGGCTTTGAGTGTGGGAGGAATTCCTTTTTGCATGATTCTTTTTTTTTGCTTCGGCTTAGTTCGAAACTACCTTATTATCTTGAAACAATAAGAACATTATTAGTGACTAAACATTTAGTATAATACATTGATACATCATCCAAGTTAAGAAAATATATGTTATCAACTCTATAATCCTTAAACAAAAGACTTTTACTTGCCTCCTGTTCAATTAAGAAATTTAAGGTATAAAAAACCCTAGAATACCCTTTATCACATAATTGACTAACGATAAGTAAATTTTTATTAAGCCTTTTAACCAATAAAACACCTTCTATGGAAATTGTGGAGGGTCCGACAACACCTTCTCCTAGTATTTTACCTTTTATGTTGTCTCCATCTATGACGTGATCGATTTCTTTGTGATCGAACTTGATAAATATTTAAGTGTCTCCTGTCATATGTCTTGAACATCCACTATTTTGGAACCATAAATTTTTGCGGAGGCAAGACTTTCCTACCGAAAATCAAACAGGTAATTTAGGTACCCAACTAGTGGGTCCTAAGAGATTATTTAAAGAACACTTAGGTATGAATACCATAGTACCATTAGGAACCTTGACATTCATAATATGGAAAATATGCCTAATGTGAAATTTATCACCATAATAATGACATGTTGCTTTAGATGAAATAATTTTCTATTTCTTCTAACAAAGCAAGAGTTTTTCTTAGAATCATTCCCCCCTTTCACTTGAAGAAGTGGAAATAATAGTGGATATAGTAATTGCTTGTGCTAATTTTCCTCTAAGTTGATCATTTTCAAGTTTCAAAATTGGACAAATATCACAATCTATCTTTACTGCCTTTTCAACTAAAGTATCATAAACATTAAATTTGTTACTTACGATAGATGCATGCTCTTCCTTTAAGGAATATAAATAACTATTTAGATCACTAATATATTTTTCAAGTTTTGAAATAAGTTTTCTTTGTAGATAAATTTTCTTAAAAGCTCATAATGCATCTACATGCATTTTTCTAAATGTCCGCACAAACCTATCTTTCCAATCCTCATACAGCTCTGCATAGGGTTCTAACAAGCGCCTAGTGGATATAGAGCAAAAATTGATCCAAACACGGATGAATAGGATCTCTACATTATGAAAAGAGAGTATACTCCAACGTTGGGCGTGATTTGGGAGGGGGCGACATTATTGGTTTCCAGGAAGTCTGCCTTAAAAGGCGTAAAGGGTAGCAAAATCCCTAACACATGAATAACAGGAAGTTGAAATTAAAAATAAGGAGCGGACAACCGCCTCTGATTACTATGTATGGAATTTTCATTTCTAAACAGGGTTCTAGGATTACATCCTCTTCATTCCCTGTATTGGTGAACATGATATCCCGATGGAACCTCACAATCATGTTAGAGTTCAAATATATATGCATAATGTCTCGAACATGAACATCTTAAGCTTTCTTGCTGACCATGAGTTCTAGACGGGAGGAAGGATGTTATAAAATGCAGTGCTTAGATTATTGAGGGACTAATGAATCTCATAATCTCTCCAACTCAAAGTTAAATAAGTACCGTTGTGTATATGGATTTTCTTCAATTAAACAAAGAAGAAATTCTAAAATGGAAGGGAGAGGAAAAGATTTTGTTGAAAAGTAATCCAAGGCCATTTATTTGGAAAAACTAATAGCATAAGCAACATACTTTCCTAATAGAAAAATTGTTGCAGGAAGTGGAAGGGGTTCCACGCCTTAAGTACACATTTAAGGAAAGAAACTAGATTGGGTTTCCCTAGAAAAATCATCATGAGCAACATTAAATTCCATGCATGCTCATTTCTTGCTAAACGATCAATCTTTCATAACCGACTGACATTTTGACGTCTCTAAATCATTTTATTGATGTTTGACATCTCCTACTTGACACACGGGCTACTCAGGAGACACTTAGAAATGAAGTGTTGACTTACCATTTATTAAGGGACTCACCCTATTTTGTGAGGGACTCGCCCCCAATTGAAGGGCTCGCCCTCTTAAAGGACTCACCCCTTTTATTGAGGGACTCGCTCCTTTTATTGAGAGACTCACTCTTAAATGAGGGAATCACCCTTAACATATGAGTTTCAATCAAAAGAAATGATGAGTCTAAAGCACTTCACTATTTACCAAGCCCTCGTGCTTGAGGGACTTTGTAGTGATATATTTGTAAAGGTCTGTGACTATGAAGTATTAGGCCTAATCTTAAGGTTATCTCCCTAACATATGGCGAACAAATACGACCTCGACTTTGTTTGCTACTCGTCTTAGCGAAAAATGTTGGGAGTTACGTGTGCATAACCTATAACTGCATGTGCATGAGGTTCTGGTCATGATTCCTAAGAAATAGGTAGTCAACTATTTCCCTAGTCAAAATGGGGTGGTTACTACGTCTTAGAGGTTCCAAAATTTAGGCCCATGAGCTTCTATAAATATCTTGACTCTGGGGTTGAGAAGGACAACTAAGAATACACACAAAATACCCCAAAACTACCGGGATTATTACCTCACATGAGCTTTCTCCCTCCTCGTCATAATCACCTCAAAACAGGGTCTCTCACCACCGTGAGTTAGCCCTAACACCGCCGAAATTCCTTAAAATTTTTGGTCACCTTTACCAACACAGGGGTGTCAGACATATATACTTTAGTATCCAATACTTATTTTTTTTTATAATGTATTACGTCAATTTTATTTTATTATTATTTATTAATTTAATTTATTGTTTTAATATTTTATTTGTTTAAAAAATAATCATTCATTCTTATTTTATAATTTTAATTTTTAGTATATGTTCTTTATTAACTTAAATTTATTATTTTAGAGTATTTGTATATTATTAATATTAATACAAAATTATAATTTATAATTTAAATATTAAAAAATTAATCCAAATTAAATGACTTAAAATTGAACCAGATCGAATTAAATATTTGTATCTAGTCATTCAAAAACTCAACGGAACTAAAAAAGAAATTTACTATGTGATTTTTTTTTTTCAAAATCAACCCAAATCTCGTGTACGACACACTAATATAACCAACCAACTTAAACGATAATTCAAAATTCTAGTTATATTGATATTTTATTTATTTTTGAAACATTAAAAGGATCCTACTATCACAATGTATATCAATGTATATCATTCCATAATGTGATTAGGCAAAGATGAAATAAACTTTTTAATCTCTCCAAAAAGTTCCTTTGCTTTCAAAGGCTCACTATCTTGAACACCATGATAACCTCCTTTCGTAAAATGTCCCACAACATTAACTCCATTTTTCTCCAATAATCTCACTAACTCAATCGAACGGTCCACAAGGGGGTCACCGTCACAATCGGTCACCATCACCCACCACTCAAACTCTCTAATCTTTTTCAATCTCACAACATTATCTCTCACCATTGGATTACAATACTCATGATCACGATCAACTCCAACCGGTAAAGATAATTCCCATAACATATCATTATTACACAATAGCAAATGAGAATCATTAGCAAGCTTAATTTCCGAACGTGTCCTGTGGGTCCCACTGAAAAATGGTTGAATCAATATAAGCCCTTTGATCATCTTAGAAGCTTCATCTCCTACCATTGCTACACGTAGACCCGTATTGTATGCTATGTTTCCACCTGCACTACTACCCATAAGAAAAACATTAGAATAATCAACATGGTTGTTTAACCAATCATCTGATTGGTTAGTTTTGATCCAATGCAGCGCCTCTACCGCATCTTCATATGCAGCAGGGAGTCTATGTTCCGGTGCGAGACGATACTCTACCGACACGACAACCGCTACGAGGTTCTTTGCCATGTTGAAACAAAAATCGTGAAAAATTGTTGAAGCTGCACTAAGAAAAATGAATCCACCGCCATGGAAAAAAATTATAAGTGGAAGTTTGTTGGAGGTGTGATCCAGTGCTTTGCGGGGAAGGTAGATCCGAGCCCACGTGGGCTTGGATTTGTTGATGATGAGATCTTTGGAAAGAATTGGGAGAGTAGGATCTAATGATGGAGGGGTGTTTGTGTTTGGTTTGCTTGGTCGAATGACTGTGCCGTTTGGATTAAGGATAAGGTTGAGTTGTTTGTAAGGATCATCGTTACATGGTTTTGTTGGAGATTGTGTTTGGGGTGTTGTTGAGTTTAACAATAAGAGGATTGTTAGAGAGAATGAAAATGTGAATATTGATAATGAAAAGAAGAGGGCCATAGTTGATTTTAGAAATACCATAGGATCGTATTTAATGGCGAAAGCTATGGTTGAATTTAGAGATATGTTTTGGTATTTTTTAATATCGACTTTTTAGGCCTCATATTCATTAAAGTGGATAAAATTGATGCAAATACGACAAAAGTCTAAAATTAAATAAATTAATTTGTACAGTAACCGTTTGTATTTTTCTTTAACTTTTGTGCTACAAATTGAAATTTTAAAATATATTTATTGTGTATCAATATAATTTGTTAACACACAATAAATATCAACAAAATTAAAAAGGTAATAGGATTGGTAATTTTGGAATAGAAGCCTGCTTTCATAGCAGGTAGACATATCTCGGACAACATATTAATTGCTAGTGAAATTGCGGATAAGGTTAGAAGAAGAAAAAAGGAACTGTTAATATTCAAAAGTAGATTTTAAGAAAGTTTATGATTCGATAGATTGGAATTTTTTTAAATTTATGATGTCTAAGATGAGGTTTCACGAAAAATGAAGGAGATGGATAGCCGAATGCCTTAGAAGATCACATTATCCAGCCACGTAATTTAGTGAAGTAAAAATTACGTGCCAAAATATTGACAGTTGTGAAGTGATTTTCACTTCACTAATTTATTTAATATTAAAATAATATGAAACAAATGTAGCACACAGCTTGTCAAATTTAAAAATTAAAAAACTAAAACGACAAATCTACTGAAGTGGGAAGGGGAAAATTTTCAAAATTTGGGTTGTGACATGAGTATCACATCGCAACCATTTAGGAGGGAAAAATATCTGACATAGAAGTGATGGTTGACTGTGCTGCATGTTGTAAAAATGACCGTTGAAACTTTTGTGTCGTGAATATTACGTGGCAAAGTTGCGAAGGATATTCACGTCGTTACGAAATTAATGTGAATAATTAAATTTTAGTTATAGGTTACGATGTGAATTTCACGTGGCAAAGTTGCGATGTGAAATTCACGTCACTATGATTTTATTTATGACATGCGTGTCAATTTCTCAGACCACACTTATTCCGCATATTTTCTTTCTCTTTCTCTCTGTTTCTTCTTCTTCTCCAATTTTTTCTATTCTTTGTTTCCTCTTCTCCTTTGTTCTTCTTCTTCTAAAATTTTTTTTATATTTTTTGAGTTGTTTCTTCATTTTGCTTGTACAGGTAATATATATTTTCCTTTATATATAATTATTATTGAATTTTATTTTTATTAATTTAGTTTAAAATATAATTTTATATTAGTTTAATATTTGTTTTTTTGTTGTCAAATTATCATTATTTTTTAGAAAAGAAAACAAGAAGGAGATTGAAGAAGATAACTGTCTAAAAGATTGAAAGAGTGTGAAGAAAATGTATTTTTACTATTTAATTTTTATTTTAGTTTGATTTATTAATTTTGGATTGTTGTTAGATGTATACTTTACTGAATATTTATATTGTTGTTATTATTATTTATCATTAAAAAAATGATTTTTGTTATTAAAAATAGAATATTATATTTAGAAATAAAATATTAAAAACAAAAATATGTTATTTTTAATGTTTTATTTATTTTTTGGTTATAAAATATTATAAAAAGAATATTACTAAAATATAAAAACAGAATATTAAATTTATTGTTAATGTCTTATTATTTTTAATATTTATGTATTATTAAAAATAATTTTTATATATAGTAACAATATTAAAAACTCAACATTATCAATATTTTTAATTTTTATGTGTTATTAAATTTATCTATGTTTTATAACTTTAAAAACTGAATATTAAAAACTATATTATTTTTAATGTTTTATAGAAACAATATTATATTTATATTATTATTATTATTTGTTATTAAAAACAGATTTTTGTTATTAGAAATAGAATATTATATTTAGAAATAAAATATTAAAAACAGAAATATATTATTTTTAATATTTTATTTATTTTTTGGTTATTAAATATTAAAAATAGAATATTAATAAAATATAAAAATAGAATATTAAATTTATTGTTAATTTTTTATTATTTTTAATATTTATGTATTATTAAAAACAAATTTTTATATATAGTAACAATATTAAAAACTGAATATTAACAATATTTTTAATTCTTATGTGTTATTAAATTTATTTATGTTTTATTACTTTAAAAACTGAATGTTAAAAACCAAATATCTTATTTTTAATGTTTTATAAAAACAATATTATCTTTATATTATTATTATTATTATTATTATTATTATTATTATTTGTTATTAAAAACATATTTTTGTTATTAGAAATAGAATATTATATTTGTAAATAAAATATTAAAAACAGAAATATATTATATTTTTAATGTTTTATTTATTTTTGGTTATAAAATATTAAAAACAGAATATTAATAAAATATATTAAGAGAATATTAAATTTATTGTTAATGTTTTATTATTTTTAATATTTATGTGTTATTTTAAAAATAAATTTTTATATATAGTAACAATATTAAAAATTGAATATTAACAATATATAATTTTTATGGGTTATTAAATTTATTTATGTTTTATTACTTTAAAAACTAAATATTAAAAACCAAATATCTTATTTTTAATGTTTTATGGATACAATATTATATTTATATTATTATTATTATTATCTGTTATTAAGAACAGTGTCAACAAGCATTTGGGAAAACATTTGATTTCTTTGTGAATGACTTGATTTAATAGCTTTTCTCTTGCAGGTGTAGAAGCAAGCACACTTCAATCTCAACGTTTTGATGATGTCAACTCAACTCAAGCTCACTTCATGATTGCAAAAAGTCAAGGCTTTCAAATTGATCAAGTCTATGCAATTATAACTTACAAGTCAAGCTGCTGTGCAAATTATTCTTCATCTGTCAAGACTTGGACACAAGGCTGGTATATCAAAATTCCCTCTTTAATTTGATATACAAGTGTTCAAACAATCCATACTTTGTGCATACCGCACTGGCATGTTTTTAAACTCTTTAGAATTGGTATAACACTTAAAACATGAATATTTTTCTAAGTTTTTACAGTGTTAACCGATTAACCATATGGGTTAATCGGTTAACGCCCTTAAAATTTGAATTCTTTGAGCTAACGTTATAGTGTTAATCGATTAACCTATATGGTTAACCGATTATCACTAAACGTATTTTGAAAAATTGCTTCCTTTCAAGTTCAAATATTGTTTGAATGTTATACGTTTTCATTGTTTGTTCTCTACTCAATTAAACCTGTTTGAATAGGTGTTTTGGCTCATATAAATTCTGATTATTTCAAAATTGAAAAACACCTCCTACAATTTTTAAAAACCATCATTGAATCAAATTCACTAAAATTCAAATATTTTCAAATTTTATCAAAGTGTTCATATTGTTCATATATTTCATATCATAGCATTGAACACTTGTATTGGCACTAAAGAGTGAATTTTGATCAAAAGGAGAAGATCAATCTATGTATTGATATCATTGCTATTACTTTCAAATCAATTCATTCAAATTACTTGTATTGTGACTTGTGATCCAGGATTGTTGGACACAAGGGTAAGTGTCTGCAGGAGGATTGTTCTTGCACACTTGTGATTGTATAGTTGTTAGAAAGTAGGCCTCACCGGTTGATGGTGTAATAGGTTGTACAATTCTAAAACTATAGTAAATTCTCTTTCATGTTGAAAGGGGAGTGGAGTACCTTCGGATTGTGAGGGTAACCACTATAATTCTCCGTGTTCTTTCCGTTTCTGCATTTACCGCTTTCATCATCAACAGTCTTAAAGAAGTAAAATTCAAGAATACCGAAAACCCGGAAAAAGTCCCTAAAGCCTAATTCACCCCCCTCTTAGGCATACTATGTACTTACAATTGGCATCAGAGCAGGTTAAGGTAACCTGTTCCTAACGATTCAGTATGGCTTCCGCTAGCACCAACCCGGTTTTCAAAGATGGTGGAAGTAGTAACAAACCACCACTCTTTTCTGGAGAATACTTCGATTTTTGGAAAATCCGTATGAAAGCACATCTTGAGGCTCAAGGAGACGGCATATGGGAAACCGTGGAAAATGGTCTGCATGTTCCTATGAGTGTCATAAATAACGTAGGCACTCCAAAGATAAAATCCTCTTATGATGAAGATGACAAGAAGAGAATCTTAAATGAAAAGAAAGCAATCAACATACTTCAAAGCGCTCTCAGTATGGACGAATTCTTCCGTATATCACAGTCTAAATCAGCAAAGGAAATTTGGGACACCTTGGTAGAAACGCATGAAGGGACAGCCGAAGTAAAAAGATCAAGACTCAACACGTTAAGTCAAGAATATGAGATATTCCGTATGCAGCCCGGTGAATCTATTGTTGCCTTACAAAAGAGATCCGTTCATCTAACAAATCATTTGATTGCTCTCGGGAAGACCTTCACCAATGATGATCTCAACTTAAAAGTCCTAAGATCCTTAACAAGAGAATGGCAACCAAAGGTGACCGCTATTTCGGAAAAGAAGAGTCTCTCAACGATGACATCCGCTTCTTTATTTGGCAAACTTCAAGAGCATGAATTGGAACTTGGAAAGCTTGAGAAGCATGAAAGTCAAGATAAAAAGTCCAAAGGAATTGCCTTGAAGATTGACACAAAGGATGACAAAAACGACGAATCTTTCGAAGATGAGAATTTCATGCTTCTAGTAAAGAAGCTTGGTAAGTTTTTTAATAATAATAAAAATTCCTCTTTTCCTAAAAAGAATAGACATTTCAGGAAAAAGGATGCATCCACATCAAATCAAGAAGTCACATGTTACGAATGTGGGAAGTAAGGTCATATAAAGCCGGATTGCCCGAAACTCGCAAATAAAGGAAAATTCAAAGGCAAAAAGGATTTCAAAAATAAGAAGGCCTATGTTGCTTGGGACGATAATGAGATAAGTTCATCATCGGAATCAGAAAGCGACGAATGTGCAAATATGCCTCTTATGGCATCACATTATTCCGATGAAGACATTGATGAGGTTAGTAACAACTTTTCAATTT